TTATGAAACAGTTTGCACACTGATGTCATTTGCAGTCTTTAAAGTCGGAACCATATGGCCGTGTTCGAGGTCATTTTAAGGGAAAAAAGCTTAATTAGTGCAAATTGCTGACCAGTAAAGCACATCAGTAGTGATTACTGGGTGCCGCATTGCCATTATTCCTGTCTCACAGGCGACTTAGCCCAACCCACCGCCTTGTGGTGAGCAGAGCAACAAAGGAAGGAAGTCAAACAGTAAATTGTGAATTTCAAAGTTTGAAAAGCGGAGGTTGGACGTTGTAGAGGATTGTGAAGATGGTAAAGAGACAAAAACTCACTTGCAAATCCAAGAGATTATGGAAAGCCTGTACAGCATCGCGCAATAGTAGTATGTGCAGCATCAGCTCGTTGTCTAAATGAGCTCTGATTTGTCGTTTTTTGCCACGAAATTGGCAACCCTGTTCAGAAAAGGGACAGCTTATCACCTGCAGTGGACAATCACACTCCAAATGAGCAGTAAGCTCTTCACGAGGTATTTCCTTCCGCTTACAGCCGTTGGGGCATGGAATGAGGAAGCGTTTGCACACCTCCACATGCGCTGGCTGATTGTGCATTTCTATTTTTTCCTGACAAAACTGACACACAACAGGACGACGTGGGCAGTCTGAGGTGAGGTGCTGCTCCAAGAAACGAACCTAAAAGGTTGACATTACAACTTTTTCCTCACAAATCATGCCAATGTTGCCTGCTTAGAGACGCTCTAATTTATTGGTCCTCTAAGCACACAACCTCTATTAAATATGTTCCACCTCCTGACATTCAGTAAGCATTGCAATTTGACTAAATGGCTTTACAAGGGGTAAAAATGCGCCAACCAACGACATCTTATTCACGATTATTAAAGTACGATAAATAAAATGGATGCTAGAAGTCCCTGTTTCGAGGAGGTAAGTTGTCTTAAACATTTGGATGTGGATGTGCAGAAATGCATAGAACAAAGTCTGGCCTCACCTTTTAGACTTGTAACAGAAAGCTGCAATGTAACTTGGATTGGCAAATAAGCCTTACTGCAGGCGTTGCGTGGTTTTACCTAACTCAAGCTTATTTAGACACTTTCTGATAGCATCGCAAATTGTGCGGTCTATCTACTGCTTATGGAATTTTTCTTTTGAAATCGGGCTGGCAACTGAAAAGAAAATCGCGATTTTTTCTTGCACGCCACGATGCAACACCTTTTGACAAAATTGTGTCAAACAGTGCTCCACGAGATGAAGCAGTGGAGCGACACATTTAGAGGCGGTATTGAGTGTCAACGTTATCTTACCTCTTTGAAAATC